TAGAGCCGCCCCAGCTCGCTGCGCTGCCCGTCGGGGCGCCGGGCCATGTACAGGGGGGCACCCACCAGCAGGTCATCCCGCCTGTGCCCGGAGAGGGGTCAGGGTGAGGGTCCTCAGGTTTGGGGGCTGGGGGCACCCAGGGGTGTGCCAGGCGCTGGGCAGCACCCCTGGGTGTCCCCGTGGGGGACTGGAGGGGGGGACAGTCCCGGCTCTCACCCGTCCCCGTTGGCGTCGGCCACGGCCACCGTGTGCCCGAAGTACGATGCCACCTGGAAAGGGTCCGGGCGGGGGGTGGCGCCGGGGGAGTGGCAAGGGCACCGTGGGGTGCACCAGGTGATGGGCGGGGGGCATGGGGGAACAGCTGGGGGCTGGGGGGGCTGGGGGATATGGAGAGGAGTGCAGGGGTGCTGTGGAGCCCCGGGGGGAGCTGAGGGTGGCACAGGGTGGGGGTACCTGCTCGCTGTCGATGCCCCGCAGCCGGCGCAGGGTGTGCCCCGCAGTGAAGATCTCCACCTGCACAGGGCAGCGTCAGACCCCAGCCCGGGGGGCCACACGGTGGTGACCCCCCCTAGGTGGCACCGGGCACCCCTCAGAACTCACCTCACCCTTTGTGTCTCTCTTGTTGGGGACCCCCACGACGTACTCTGTGGGGGATGAGAGCCATGAGAGACCCCACTGGGGCATCAGGGGGGCCATGGAGATACCCCCGGCACGGGGGTGGGCACGGGGATATCCCCAGCACAGGGATGGGAAGAGGGCATACCCTGGCAGGGTATGAGGGGTATGGGGGCACAGAGACAGGACAAAGGTTGTGACCTGGCACACCCTCTGTCCAGCATCCCTGGGAGGGGAGGTCTCCCTGGGGTGTCCCGGGCCCGTCACCCCCTCCCCGCAGGTGGCCCTGCCCCCCCCACACCCTCCAGCCCTACCTTTGGTTCTGGGGTCGCCATCGAACTCGCCCACAGCCACCGAGTACCCTGTAGGGAGAGGGGCACCAGTGAGCCCGGGGAGCCCCGGCCGGAGCCGGCTGTGGGGCGGGGTGCCCGTGCCCGCTGCTCACCCCGGTACCCATCCTCGTATTCCAGGGACACGGGCACCGTGGGGCGCCCCGGGGTCCCCAGCCAGAGCAGTGACGTGCCGTGGAAGCGGCTGAGGATGGTGTTCACCTCCACCGAGTACAGGAGCCCTGCGGGACAGACACCGGGATGGGTGGACAGCAGCGCTGGGGGGGCACCCGCTGCCACACGCCCTGGGCTGCCAGTGCCACTGCGGTGGCACTGAGGGGGTGGCCCATCCTGGGTGCCCTCCTCCCGCCGTGCCCACCCCAAGGGAGCACTCCGGGAGCACCAGCCCGGCAGGAAGGACTCACCCGTGAAGTAATACCCGCCGGGGGCACCCAGCACCAGCGTGCCGTCCTGCGGGAGGAGCTGGCCTCAGCACCGCCCTGGGGCACCCCCACCCTGGCATCCAGCCCAAGCATCCCTTATCCTGGCATCCTCCACCCCAGCACCCCTCCACCTCAGCATCCTTTATCCTGGCATCCCCACTCAAGCATTCTCCACCCCAGCACCTCCTCCCAAACATCCCCACACGCTCTTCCCCCCTCCTGGCACCCCCACCCCAGTATCCCCCACCCTCTCACACCCATCCTGGGGCCCTTTCCCCTGGAATTCCCACTCCAGCATCCCCCCGCGACAAACCCACTCAGGTACCATTCCTGCCACACCCTCTGCATCCCTGGCAGCATCCCCATGGGAATCCCGGGTGGCACACCGGGCACGC